ATTGGACCTTCGTTTAGAAAATTGCTATCTAATGGTTTAAAGATTCATAAGGGTAGAAATCCTGTTCCTTAAATGATTAGGGGAAAATCATTAGCGTTGAGGTTTTACTTAGGAACAGTATCTAAATAACCTTACGCTTTTAAAACACATTTTTTGTTTTTGTTTTTGCCTTAGGATGTGTTTGCTTACCTGAGAGAGACAGAGGGAAAGTGTGACATCAACTCCTAGGTGGATGGCCATGCCACAATCTCTTCTCCATTCTCTTAGGATTTTGGGCACACATCTTGATTGTCAAGCCACCAAGTCTGGGACTCAAGTGGAGGTTGGCCATGTGGGAGTCCAGCACCTTAGCCACCATGCTACCTGCTGGCTCCTTAAATCAAGTCTGCCTTTTCTGAGGATGATCTGTTGTTACTTGCTAAGGTCTTGGAGACTGGCATCTACAATAGCATAGAATGAATTCGGCACTGGAAATCATGAGTTAATAATCTACTTCCCTTGATGGGTTCTATTGCTGTGAGCAAGTTGTGTGGGCTGTTATCTCCTGAGAAATCCCTGTAAAAGGTATTAGTAATACTTTATAAGTAGGTTGGGAGAGTTAATTTTTCTTAAGTATTTTGAAATTCGTAGATGAAAGGCTCTGTATGGAGCAAGTTGGTGTCAGCCTGTTTTCTCTCCTCTGAGCCAGGAGAAAATAGGCACCTTAGGGTCAGGTTGACTTATCTTCTGGAGTTCCTTTATAAATTGCTTTTATTGAATTTAAAGTGGATAACAGATGCTTCTAAGAATATGGTTCACTATAAAGGTAAACATTTCTTGGATTTGGATTTTGGAATTATTAACTCTTATTTTCACCTAAGATTTAAAACAGGTTTAAATACTAGAGATGATCTTTAAGGCCAATTTAGGTTTCCTGTTGCCTGAACTAGTCTTGCTGCATGAAGGCATACCTTAGTGGTTATTTTATTTTTTTTTTTAAGGTTTTTGCCATAGGGACCGTGCACTCCCTGAGAGAGCCAGAGACACAGTGAGAAATCACCCCCCGGGGAGACCGGACACACCACAATCCCTTTTCCTCCCCTCTTGGGATTTGGGCAAACAAGCACTTGAACCATGAAGCTGGCCATGTGGGATTCATCACCTTAACTTCCACACCACCTGCTGGGTCCCCTCTTTTTAATTTTTTTTAAAGCCGCATTTACTTAAATAATTACTAGTAGTAATTGGACCTTCGTTTAGAAAATTGCTATCTAATGGTTTAAAGATTCATAAGGGTAGAAATCCTGTTCCTTAAATGATTAGGGGAAAATCATTAGCGTTGAGGTTTTACTTAGGAACAGTATCTAAATAACCTTACGCTTTTAAAACACATTTTTTGTTTTTGTTTTTGCCTTAGGATGTGTTTGCTTACCTGAGAGAGACAGAGGGAAAGTGTGACATCAACTCCTAGGTGGATGGCCATGCCACAATCTCTTCTCCATTCTCTTAGGATTTTGGGCACACATCTTGATTGTCAAGCCACCAAGTCTGGGACTCAAGTGGAGGTTGGCCATGTGGGAGTCCAGCACCTTAGCCACCATGCTACCTGCTGGCTCCTTAAATCAAGTCTGCCTTTTCTGAGGATGATCTGTTGTTACTTGCTAAGGTCTTGGAGACTGGCATCTACAATAGCATAGAATGAATTCGGCACTGGAAATCATGAGTTAATAATCTACTTCCCTTGATGGGTTCTATTGCTGTGAGCAAGTTGTGTGGGCTGTTATCTCCTGAGAAATCCCTGTAAAAGGTATTAGTAATACTTTATAAGTAGGTTGGGAGAGTTAATTTTTCTTAAGTATTTTGAAATTCGTAGATGAAAGGCTCTGTATGGAGCAAGTTGGTGTCAGCCTGTTTTCTCTCCTCTGAGCCAGGAGAAAATAGGCACCTTAGGGTCAGAAGGTTGACTTATCTTCTGGAGTTCCTTTATAAATTGCTTTTATTGAATTTAAAGTGGATAACAGATGCTTCTAAGAATATGGTTCACTATAAAGGTAAACATTTCTTGGATTTGGATTTTGGAATTATTAACTCTTATTTTCACCTAAGATTTAAAACAGGTTTAAATACTAGTTTGTAATTGGCCAGACTTGGTGAAAACTGAATACTGGGTCACAGCTTTTCTAAAAAGGAGTCAACTTTCACTTAGAATATAATGTGTAGACTTTATTTTTGGGTCTGAAGAGTCACGATGCATTTTCACATAGAAAAACAGAAAAAAATCATTACTTTTTTGACGACCTAATACTTCCACTAATCTGTGAAATTAATCTTTGCTGCCAAATAAATTGCCATGGGCTGGAACAAAGTTTTTAATCTCTGTTAATTTATATATTCACTTCACACTCTAGTGCATCTGTGTGGAAACATACAAGTTTAGAAAATTTAAAACCAAGTTCTTATTGTTTTTTTTTTTTAATAGACCACAGATTAGTTTATTTTTAACACTCATCATGCCATGGATTCATAGGGAATAGGTTCCAGTAGCTCAGGCTCCTTTCCATTGGTTCTCACAAAGTGTGCTTCTCTGGGTGGAGCAGGCTGGTGCTTTAGTTGAACCCAGGTACCTTTCTCTTTGGCTTCTTTATTTTTCTGGTCATTTTCCTTCACACGTTTTAGGAAGCTCTTAGAATGTTTAATATGCTCAATACGCACATTGATTCTCTTGGCAAGAATCTTGCCCTTAACTTGTTTGTTCACGACAATGCCAACAGCATGCTGGGTGACATTGTAGACTCTTCCAATTTTGCCATGGTTAACATTTGTGGGGCATTCCCTTTTGAACAGTACCCATTCCCTTAATGTCTACAATGTCACCTTTCTTGAAGATTTGCATATATGTTGCCAAAGGAACAACTCCATGTTTTCTAAAAGGCCTAGAAAACATATATCGGGTGCCTCTCCTCTTTCTCTTTGTGTTCGTCATTTGGGTTAATTACTGGAAGATGGCGGTTCCCAAGTTGTTTTTTGAGAAGCCTAGCAGTTTAATAGGGCAAGATGTTATTCACAAGTAATAGTAATGTATGTTGTGTTTGAAAAATACATGTCTCTTCCTAAATTATCTCTACTTAAATGGGAACTAATAGTAACATAACATTTTTAGAGTAACTACATACTAGGCTTTGGTTGTTTATGCATTCCAAGCAGCTTTCTATGATGCCAGAGAAAAATGAACCAGTCTAGATGCATGGGAAGGTGGGTAAGTAGGGAGTCACACTTTCTGGTGCTCTGAAACCCTTGACTGATCAGTGCAATGTGGGCCTCTCTTCTTTTTTTTTGGTAGAGGATAATTTGCAGACATGAAATACTTCTCTTGGATTGGTAGTGCTCATACTCTCTTTAAAAACAAAATATATTCCTTACTCTTGTTACTATACTTAAGTATTTTTGTGACTGACAAACTTTAGGAAAAACTTACCTTTAATCCTAAAATATTGGGGCTGGCAGGTGGCCTGGTGGTTAAGGTCCTGGACTCTCACGTGTCTGACCGCGGTTAGATCCTGGACCTGGTGACTTAGCTCTTTCACTTTCCCCTTCTCTCGTTCTCTTTCTCTTTGGGTCAAATTAAATAATAATAATAAATAATAATAAATAAATACTAAAAAACTAAACAAAGCAAAAATATATACATATAATTATAACGTTAAAAGGAAATTAAGCAGAATTAAGAGCCCCTTCTCAACTGCATTTCCATGCAGAATTTCCAGAGACCCCAGTGAGCCAGTGGGGTTAAGTTTCCAACACAGACTAGTTATCCCATTTGCAGACTTTACATCTTTCCTCTCCTTTTCGGGTTCAGATTTATTTCCATCCAGAGACTAGCCTTTGGCAAACTTCCAAATCAGTTTTGCAGGGAGCCCTACCCACCTTTGCCAGGTGAAGAAACAAAGATCACCTGAGTAACACGCGCCGCAGTCACACCCTCCTCGCGCACAGCTTTGCCCGGACACTCGCATCCTCCTCGCCACCCCAAGGATCCTCGGGATGGGGTAGATTGGAGGGGTTTGGCATTTGAGGGCCTGGCCTGCAAAGGTAATTAACCTGATTTACGTTTGTATAACGAGTTCCTAAGTCCCGCCTTCCATATTTACTGTGAGAGTTCGACCCATTTGTGATGGCGGGTTCAGCATTTCATGGCCGATCCTTGACCCTACCAGTTAGGCGGTCCAGGCTGGTTTACTCTTAGGAGGAACAAAACACGTAGGTCGACCCAACCAACAGCACTGTGCGGCAGCGAACGTTTTAAAGCGTAGGACATCTAGTCTCCCCCCATTCGTCATAAGGTTGCTCCAGAGGGCTTTAGGTGACACTGTCAGTGAGTGCTGAAATTGACGATAGCCGTAACATCCCGGGATGTTATTCGCCAGGCTGCTCCGGCCCACGGTCTCGCGATTTACGCCAGCTGCGTTCGGGAGCGCTTGGGGGCTCGGGCTCCGCGAGGCGGGCTGGGGGCGGGGCGGGGCGGGGCCGGGGGGCAGGGTCTAGCGCGCCTGGGCGGGGC